CATTGCTCTAATGGAGGGTAATCCAAGATGGCCGTTGGCCTACATGGAATCCCTTGGAAATACATTCAAAACAACAAACAACATTTCTAATCTCATAATATATTTGATATTTAAATTATGATCACTTTGGTGTATGAAAAACTATTTTTGGAGGATAATTAACTCTTCATCAGCTGTTTGAAATTACTGTATCAAGATAGCCGCTAGCCTCTAAGGACTCTTAAGTTTTCAAGGTCCCAAACAAATGTTTTACCAGCGAAAGTTATCAATTATGAATTTCCCTACACAAATCCCCTAGATTAAAAGTAAAATCTGTAGTAGTTATTACTACAGTTTTCATAGCAAGACTTCGTGGCTCATGATAGGTTTTGTTTGAACGAGCCACGTCTCTTATCAAAATGTTAAGAAGATATTTTAAAGGTGTCCTGACTTGTTGAACGGGTGGTATATAGGATTACACTAAATGGAATGGGGCCATTAGTGTCAATCCCAAATAATATTCATTTGATATAGGAAAATTAGGGGTTTTTGTTATTTACACAAAAACTAAAAGAGATACGAATAAAGTATAAATTACAAAGTTGTTAAGAATAAAAAAACCTATAAAATTATGTGTATTTTACATATGTTGCTATATGAATATTTTCAAAAATAATTTTTTTGGAATTCTTATTATTTAAAAAAACCCCGTTTCTTGTAGCATATTACATAAAGCTAATTTCATAACGAATAAGAAAATTCAACCGGGGAGGGGCTAAGTGCATTGGTATAGGAAACAGAGTGTTAAAAACATCTTGATTTTTTACAAAAAAAAAAAAAAAAAAACTGCCACCATTTTGAAACGGAAAAAGTTAATTATCTTCTGTTTCCGCCAAAATGTTTGTCTATAAAATACCTTTAAAATTTTGTATAACATAACATATGTTTACTTTTGAAAATTCCGAGATTCGAACTAGTGACCCTTAGTTTTTGGCACACCCTGTATCGGGAAACAGTTAACAAATATTTTAAGTTATTCCTTGGAGTTGATTTAGCGGGAAATAATTCAATTTCATCCTTGTACGATAAGCCGTTTTTCCGTTATCAACTTGAGACACCTTACGTGGGACACCCTTTATATAGGGTTATTACAAATGATGTTCCTATTCTTCTTTCTCTGTTCTTCATCAACGACCTCCCATCAGTTGTTCAAAAGGGTTAAATACGTATTTTTTCTGACGACACCTTTCTCGCTGTGTCCATCCCAAACCGACTCGAACTAGACATGTGTGCCTTTATACATACAAGCCAGTTGCTTGTTGCAGTGGTTCGATGAAAATCTCCTCAAAATCAATCCAACAAAAAGCTTGTTGAATTATCATTAGAAAAACAAAAAACAAAAAATATTTTGGCTAATTAAAAGCCTTAAAGTTCCTAAAAATTTTATCAACTTAAAAAACAATAAACGAGTGTTGAAAGTTGTATTGTTATTTAAACAATGAACAGATTCTTAATTCTTGATTCTAGATTCTTAATAAGTTATCGTCGATAAAAAATCGTGAATAAATAAAAAGAAGACAAATCCAAGAGTCAAGGTCATTACAAATCTCTGAAAACATTTAAGTTGTATCCAATGTTGTATATTCTGTCTGTAGACAGTTTTAGCCCTCTTGAAGATCATTGGCCGAGTGAAATATGTTGAGACCATACAGATGTCCTCTTGAGGTTGTACAAACCAGCATAAACACTACATCATATCTTGTGGATACTTGAAACAATAATCGGATCAAAATATTTCAGTACGAAACAACCTCGTGAGACTAAAAGCACCGCAATTTACTTTACTGATCATTGCTTGAAAACATGAATTTACATTTTAAAACGTCCCCCCCACTCTTGACACATTAAAAAGGTTCATGCTTACTTATATAAAATATCAATTTAAATAAACAGATATATTTATACAAATTAGTCGTTTATACATATAAACGTTTATACAAATAAAGAAATAAATAATTAAGGTAATTTACACTAGTGCAAAAAGATCATTCTCAATCATGCTTGAGTTTGCTACTACGAAGAAAAATGCTTAGATTATACAGAGTGCATTTTAAACGCAACCCAAACAATTACAACTACCGTGATACATCTTTTAACAACAAAACCAGCTTATATTATGGTATTTCTGGTTTTTTACCTAAATTAATTCCGATCACATAATATGCATTGTTCCATGAATATCTATGAGGTTTAGTGTCATTGTAATTTTTTTAAAGGCTCGACATGTTTTTTTAACTATACCTTTATAAATAACACCGGCATGCTGCTTAAAATGATGGTATGTTCTGTCAAATTTAACTCTGTTCTTATGGTACTAAAATCCAATATGAAGACTCTTAAAGCCCCACTTCCAGCCCGAGTTCTTTGAGCATTTGTCATGCTACTTCAAAAATAATTGGCTTGCTCGATGAATGGAATATATACTAAGCATTTTAAACGTTTTATGTTTGTAGGTTGTGATTAAATATTTGCTATTATATATCGAGACTCAAATAAACAAACATGATTTTTTGAAACCGATGGAAGTAAATATCGTTGATCTACTAATCGTGAAAATTGGGTACAAGCAGAAGACGATGACAACCAACACTAGGGTTTTCCCATCACACGTTAATTTTAATAAAGAATCTTAATCTTAAATATTTTTAATCCAGATGCTCAGCTTATAATCAAAGATGAATGTAGCAAGGGCAAGTTCCAACCGCTAGCCTGTCTATGCTACAACTAAGTTACTGTTCTCGTGACTCGGGTAGAATTTCCTGTTGTACGCTGCTACAGAATTGTTACTTCTACCACAAATGCCAATGTTTGTCTTAAATTCCATAAACAATAAATGTATTTGCGTAAGATATACAGGGTTATTACAAATGGTGTTCCAGATTTTGATTATAACCATTACTGGGTTAATTTGTTTTTAAACTATTTCAGTTGGTACCATTGGAGAGAAAAACTCTCAAAGTGTCATTTACATTGGTTTGGGTCACCGATATGCGGTTAATTTGAGTGCATATCGGCTGATTGTCAAGACTCGTACGCTTTGTTGTAAGCGATAGCACACAACACATTAATTTTGAAAGAATCGCGCAAATGCTAGATGTAAGCGTGTGGGTTCTCTGAACCCTATATTCTGGCATTCAGTGTGTCTGCTCACATTACCACACAAGTGGAATTTTACTTTATCGATAAAGACTAAATAATTTACAAAGCTTCACTTTCCACCACGGTTTGTGTATTTTTTCACAAAAAGAAAAAGAAAACAAAAAGAAAGTCTTACAACTTTGTCATTTTGTTTTAAATCTTAAAGCAGCTGAAGATAGTTAGGTTTGATTTTTTTGAGTTTACGTATAACATTCCAAACAGTTGACTAAAGGGAAACCAAGCTCGTTGCTGCATTTAACAGATTATAAATTACTGTGGGTAAAACTTTCCCTCACCTGCTATGCAGCTTCATTGTTCACTGATAGCTTCCCAGTTAATTTATTTTACAAATGCAGCCATTTCTCAAAATTCTGATTGTGAATCAAGTGATTAATAGAGAATTATAATTACACCTGGTTCTTAATTCAGCCATTACACAACACTTACAACAATTGACTTCACAAACGACTGATATGCACCCAAACCAATGTAAATGAAACTTTGAGAGCTTTTCTTTCCAATGGTACCGACTAAAATAGTATTGAAACCAATTGACAAAGTAATGCATACAATCAAAATCAGGAACAGTAGGGGTGGCCCCACTCTGGTCCAAAACACGTGACAGGTAAATCACCTGTATTCCCGCTAACCGTTCCCACCAGCTGACGTAACCTCATTTAGTACCTTTTAAATTAATTATAGTGTAAAAAGTGTGACCGAGGATCGATCCCAGGCCTCGTAGGTGATAGGTTATTGCCTTATAGCCATTGAGCTACGACAGCAGTTATGTTGTAACATATTATATTGTAGTCGTCAACTGTTCCCGCCAACTGACGTAACCTTAATTGTTTGTATAGGAGTTACCAATCCTATACCAATCCTATGTGATCATGTGACCAAGATCGTACTGCATACGCAGCTGTTAAACATAACCTCAAGGTGAAAACCTTCCTGCCATAACCTCACTTATCGTATTGTGTACGTTGTCATCTGATTTCCCGCCATGACCTCACGTTACGTATCGTATACGTATCCCGCCAAGTAACATAACCTCACTTTACGTAAGTTTATTTATTGTGTATTATGAGATTAAAAGTTTAGCTTTAAGCAGGGACCTCCCAGGTGGCGGTTCCTACGACGACAGTTACGTGTTTATATTGGTAAAATAACAACCTCAGTGTATAAAGTCCCAACAGAACGTTAGTGTGTATCAAGCGACAAGCGGGGATCAATTACGTTATTACCGTCAATATTGATAGCGTTATCTTCGATAATGATATTGTTGTGCATTCTATTCTTCACTTTTCTCAAATAAATGAACGAGGTAAGTCATATTTACTATAAATTACTTTAACTTGATATTATAATAACTGGTGTTGTTAACTTAAGTCTGACATTTTATGGTAAATAAAAACAAATTGTCTCACATAGAAAAAAAAGATTCTCTCTAATGTATTCTCTGCAGAATGGACATCTTTATATTCTGTCACTACAATTAGGACATAGGGTATGACTACAGGGTAGTAGGGCGATAATAGGGACATGCTCTAATGCTATGTAAATCTGTTTGTAAAATCATCTAACAAGATGTACCACATAATACCAAAGTTTGTATTTTATCTTATATAGGGTGAAACTTGATACAATGCCTTGTAATCAGCTGTAATAAAAGTCCATACTTCTATCTATATATGCAGTAACAAATATGAAACAAATTATAATTACCATTGTTAAAAAAGATTGCTTAAGTAGAACTTTACCGTTGATGCGGCTTTTGTAATGGCCACCAAATGTTGAATGTTTTATAGATGTTATGTAATTCCAGGATTATGCTGTTGTGTTTCTACTGTGTCTCTGGGTTTTGTTCTGCTAGTGCTTCTGCTACAGTTTACGCTATGAGTAAGTACTTACAAGTAACTATTTATTAAAATTAATACTACTTTGAGTGTGAATTATAACATACGTTTTAAACAATATGTGCTTTTAACAATTGATGTAGTACCTTAACGGTAAACCCTATAACTTTTTTGAATATCATCTGATGTTCTTATTAGATAAAAAAAATGAGTATAAACTCTGTATGTGTAAAAAAAAACTCTCCACTAGGTTCCAGCTAGTGGAAATTTATACAGATTTGGTAATATACTATTTTATATGAATAGGTAAAAAACATTAATCCTTGTGTAATATCTTTCAGTCTATGAACAATCCAGCATTTGTCCTATCTGCAGCTGCAGCTGGTAGAATTTCTACACTGAGGACTAAGCTCCTAGCTATATAACTAATATATATGTTTCTATTTTTATTTTTTATATTTTCAGAGTCTTGCTTCACCTGAAACTGTACCTGAGGCACGTGAATGTCGTAGCTGTCAGTAGAGCACCCGCATTGAAACGTTTCGCAAGAGATTAATCCATAGGGTAGGTATCCGCTCAAGGGAAGTTAAGTATAAATGAGTTAATATATTTACACTACATTATTTTAACAAACTTCCCACACAAAGATTTATCAGCTGTTGCATACTACTATAATAAATATTACCAGTCAGCTGATTAGTAGTATTTAGTCCTTTAACTAGTGGGTTTAAACTATTTTATATAAATAGATAAAAACATTAATCCTTGTGTAATATCTTTCAGTCTATGAATAACCCGGCATTTATCCTACCTGCAGCTTCAGCTGGTAGAATTTCTACACTGAGGACTGAGCTCCTAGCTATAGCTAGCTTGGCTGGGAGTACACTCTATGGATATTCCTATGCTTGCGGGCTGCTACCTACAGTAATATCTGCTCTTTGGGAGGACCTCCGCAGCACTTTGGAGGGTGTGCTGAGGCAGGCTACTATAACCAGATAAATGCCATGGTAACAGAAAGAACCCCGCGGCCATCGGACCCTCCAATCAATTCAGCGACATGCCAAGATATGTTTGGAACACGCTCCAACTATCGTTTTACAACCGTGTGGTCACACACTGTGCCCCAATTGCGCACACAGGGTGTACAGGTGCCCCTTTTGTAGAGAGTTTATAGACAATAGAATAAATATATATTTTTCGGAATAAACCTAGTGTTTTTATTTAACCTCAAAACCCCAAATTATATTCGCATAAAGTTTACCAATAAGATACTACATCAACTGTTAAAAGTACATATTGTTAAAAAACGTATGTTATAATACACATTCAAAGTAGTATTAATTTTAATAAATAGTTACTTGTACGTACTTACTCATAATGTAAACTGTAGCAGAACAACACCCAGAGTCACAGCAGAAACACAACAGCATAATCCTGGAATTACATAACACCCATAAAACATTCAACATTTGGTGACCATTACAAAAGCGGAGTTTTTTTATATATACTCAACGGTAAAGCCATCTTTTTAAACAATGGTGATTATAATTATAAACTGAGAAAAGCCAGTAGCTTTTTGGATTTTACAAACAGATTTACATAGCATTGGAGCTCCTTGCTTTTATTTTCTGCCTGGTTTATTTTACATAACAACAATTCAGATTTCTTTTTCCTCACAAGTTTTCTAAAATTTATATTTTATTTATATTTATATTTTATCAGATTTCTCTGTCATACAGTGAACAGTTTATGGAAGCTATCTGGGCGTGGTAGTCTGAGAGGGCTGTCACAATAAATTCACTTTTAGTTCTTTTATTATCGATGTCAGTAAATATGTGATCTACCAAGGATCCAGAATATTTGAACTCCCTTGTATACTTTGAACTTATCGTGTTTCTGAGTCCAAAAGATCTCATAATTGTTGTCAGTTCATCCGTTACGAAGGAAGTTTTAGACAGATCAATATTTAAATCACCAACAACTAACAAGCAATTTCTTTCAGAGAGTTCAAGTGCACTACGCATTTCCGTACGACGATGGCGCATTTCATGTTGTATTTTATACATTTATTTTATTTTGATTTTATTAGACATGTCTACGTAATTTCAATCAAAGCAACTCTCTTGAAACCAATAAATTAAAAGGTATGTTATTTTTAATGGAAGTTCTTGTAAATATTTGGCATGTCTCAATGTTGTTATACTGTACAACATTCATCAGATGTCACACAGTAAAACAAGACATTCCTCTAAGCTTTGGTCTATTATGCTGTGTGCCAGATTGCTTACCTCACAGATAGTCTATGAACAAGTTTCATTAGCAAGCGAGAGGTCGCTGTGTGCGCCATAACCCCAAATATTCGACCTTTATAAGTTCAACTGTATTTATTGTTGCCTTGTTGTTAGAATACGTATGTTATAGAATAGATACCTCCCATACTACCTACTGATTGGCATGTACTAATTTACTAATTTTCAAAGTGAAGTCAATTTGATAGTCAAATAAACGCTAAAACAATCGAATTAGAAACTAAATTGAACTATAATAAGAATTTTTGACGCATAAGGCAAACACACTAAAAGGAAAAATTCACGGCAGAAAAATAAATGGAAGGAGTACTTTAGTAGCACTATCTTAAAAAGTTTGACATAAAGTTTGATCGGCCAGTGGTGCGACTCGATTGGCTCACGTAGACGACTTTAATAGAAAAGCTTCGTACGTGATTTGAACTGAAGATTTGAACGTTACGGCCGTGCTACATAATGTGTGACACTCTAAAGTGTGCCTATTTGTTTTCAACTGTAATCACTAAAAACAAATTATTCATTATTACTATTGACATCGATTAGTATTTTAAACGTCTCTGTCGGCTGCAGTTGTGAATCTGTTACCAAACAGTCTTACCAGTTTATTCATTCTGAAAAAACAAGATGAAATAAGAAAGACAAAATTAAAAGTAACTATTTGTCATTAGAATGGTGCAACAGCATAACAGATAAATGCTCAGCTTTCAATAACACGAGTATTCTGCAATAAAGAGGCAGGTCCTCATTATATGGAATAGCTATATTTGACTGTTATTAAATGACATTTTGTCATTTCTATCAACATTAAGATATCTATGGTAGTGTAACACTATCAATAACTAATCTAACTGGTGATTTTGCATCAAACCTTGAGCATAACTGACGTTTTGAGACTTACCAGAACTTTGGATTTCATAAGGAAAATTATATTGCATGCAGAAGTAAGAAAACAATACCCTCGCCTCGACAAACCTGCAGACTAAGCAAATCTCAATCTGTCTAATTATAGTTTACTAAAATATTTCCATAAACAAGACTTATTACACATTTATTTTTTTATTTGTCGTAGGAGAGGCACGAGCCCGGGATTGTTTTTCACATCACTTCAGGCTAGACCTAGGGGTTGTAGCATTATCACTTAGAAAATCCATTGGTGATTTGGCGGGAATTGAACCCGGGACCTCAGGGACGTAAGTTCTGCGCTCTAACCACTAGACCAGCTCGCTCCAGCACCCATTTATATTATATTTAACGAGTCTAGGTTTGCTGCTACGGGGAAGGTAAACATGTTTTTTTCACCAATGTTAGTAGTAAAGGATTAAATAAATAAATTTGACAAATTTGATTAACATACATCCATAAACAAGCAAACTACACCACTTTTATTTTTCTCCATAAGAATAGCATGGGAATCTTAAATGTAAAACTTTTTGACATATTTTCCATAACGTTTAATTTTACAACAACGTTTCAATGTATAAAATTATTTACTTTTTAAGCTCTACAAGATGGTTGTAATGAAAATGTTGCATGTTCATGTTTTAAGAGTAAATATAAACACAATTGTGAACACTCCAAAACCCTATATTACCCCATTTCCATGACCTGATCTTGCTAGTTCATGAACTCATTCAAGTTTATCTAGTTTTACCCATTCTTGTCTAAATTTTATCAAAGTCAGACCAAAATTAGTTATCGCGTTTACGGGTCTATGTCTTACAGTGTCACCTTCCCTACCATAAAGCTACTTCCCTGTAAATACATTTGCTAAAAACTACTGAAATACACAATACCCATTACTCTATTTATTCAGAATTTCACCAAAGTAACACTTTTCAAGAAGCGTGGAAAATAAAACTGAAAATTATGCTTTGAAAATTAAAACTGAACCTACAATATAATTAAAATTTAACAAAGTCTTTGATTATATGTCTGACTGAATTTACTCTCTTCATACATTCCTCTTAAAACACATTTGTCCTTGGATCCTTCGGCTTTTCTGTATATATCTGAAAGCTGCCAAACATATCATGACAGGAAACAGATGGTGATTTTAAGTAAGAGTTTGAGTGTGGAAGAACATGGTTTACGTAAACATATTTGGTTGAATATGTGTGTGGAGTTGTAGTACATATATGCAAAATAGGTAAGTTAACCGGGTGAATTCAATCGTACTACTTCAAAAAGCAAATGTCTATCTAATAATTATTTATTATTATTACAATCTTATAAAAGGAATAGCCTTTAAAATAATACTAAGGGTGGCTGTAACACACAGACAAGACACGAAATACCCATATCGACAAAACATGCAAACGTGGAAAATATGGTAAACATTCAACAATCATTGTAAATGTTGAAATATTGTAGATGTGGAAGGAACCTTTGTAAGCTTGCTGAAATTGTAAACATCAAAACATGTGAATATTTTATCACGTTAACATAAACATATAAATACGTTAGCCTTGCTCCAAGGAACATATGAGTTTTCTTCAGAGACTTCAGAGATACCCCAAGCAAGTCGGTCTAGTGGTAGAGCACGGGGCTTGCGGTCGCCTAGGTCTCGTGTTGAAATCCTGACTATCATCAATAATTTTTAGCTATGGGATAGTAGCCTGAAGTAACGTGTACAACGGTTCCGGGCTAGTCCCTACGATCCTAGGATTTAAAGGTTAAGCTGTACGCTAGTAACATGGTCATAGATTTTCAAAATAATACATTTTCCTCGTTTATTGAACCATTTAAATTGTGTGTAACAATTTCTTTAACAGATACCAACAAATTTGATATTGCATATTCTAATAGAATAAAGTTGATCGAAGTATATAGTAACTTTATTATATCAGAAAGGTTGGTCGTAATTAAAAATCAATTCAACAACATAAATAAACGACATCGGAATGTTTTTTTTTTTTGCGAAATCAGGTAAGAGTTAACGCTTAATAATTTATATGACCAGAGGTGATGGTGAACTAATGCAGGGTTCAGTGGGGGCTTTACCCGTCCCCAGTGGAACCATAGCTCACAAAATTAACTCCGGCATTCCACAAATTACATTCTACATCCCTCGATTTACAATCCGATGCCATCGTTTATGAGAACCCAGTATTTTGAACTTATCAACTTAATAGTGTAATGAATTAATGAAATTATGACAAATGATGTGTATCAGTGAAAAAATAACGTTTTAGGTGTTCAACTGTACAGTAGACTACAAATAGTAACAATGATAGTGTAAATCTGATTTGAGTTTTTTTCACACTCAATCATGAAAGAAACTTCATGAAGGAAGTTATAAGAGATATTTTATCGGGTTTTGTGCACTAAAAAAAACTCATAACTGATTTCAAATGTATGACTTGAGTATGATAAAATGTTATTATATTATTCGTTTTATTAAATGTTTTGGCTGTATTTTGTAGTACAGGGTTATTAAAAAGGAATGGTGAAAAACTAAACGGTTAGTAGCCCATTTCCGTGATTTCAAGCAGCTGGTTGTTACACCAATGGAAAGGGCGTGTTAATAAGTTTGTTTTGACAAGTTATGTTTTGTTTCAGTTGATTAGTTGAGT